GGGGGGGGGGGGGGGGGGGGGAATGCAGTGCCATGTGGGATGCAATGCACAGCGCAGTGCCCTGGCACAGAGCGCAATCACTGCAGCGGCTGAGGAGCTCCGGGCGCGGTCAGAGCGCAGCGCGGTGTCCCCGTGCGGTGTCACAGCTCTGTGTCACCGTCACCGATGTGTGTTTCCTTCCACCCCCACCCCCCGTGCTGTGTCACCGCCCCGTGTCCCCAGCGCGGGGGGGGGGCTGTGCTTAGCCGGGACCGCGAGGGCGGTGGGCGGACCGCAGCGGAGCGGTGCGGTGCGGTGCGGTGCGGGCATGGCGGGGCTGTCCCTCCCGGGGCTGTTCGTGCCGTTGCTCTGCCTGCAGCTGATGGGCACTGCAGCTTTCAACTTGGACGCTGCCAACACTCTGTTGAAGGACGGAACCCGGGGCAGCCTCTTCGGTTTCTCGGTGGCTTTACACCGGCAGCTCAGCCCCGAGCCGGCCAGCTGGTGAGCGGGACGCCCTTCCCCACCTCCCCGAGTTATTAACGGGGGAGCGCTGTGCGGAGATGGGGAGGAGGGGTGGGATTTGGGGCTTTGTGGGGAACCGAAGGTGATCTCAGCACTTTGCCTCCCCGCCCCATCGCCTGCGCGCAGTGCCCGGCGCGGAGATGCCCAACGCCCACCCGCGTGCCACGGGAGCCGCCGGCACCGGGGGTGGGATGGGGCGGGGGGGGGCACGGAGCTACAGCCGTGGGGTCCCACACCATGATGTCCCGCACCTCGGGGTCCCGCATGCTGCCCGAACCCAGAGCGCCCCGGCTGTGGCACCGGCGCGGTGTCACCGCCGCCCCAATCCGCCCGGCTCTGCTGCCGCCTCTCCGCATTCCTGGCGCCCGCCCCGGGGTTATTTTCGCTCCCGGTAGTGGAGTTCTTGGGCAGGTGCTTGGAGAGCTGCTGGCATCGGGTTGTATGCCGGGAACTGAGCACGGCACCGGGAACTGAGCACGGCACCGGCACCAGGAACCGGGCACTGAGCATGGCACAGGGCTCGGCACCAAACATGGCACCGTGTCCAGTATGGGCATGGCAGGAGCACCGGGCTCAGCACCAGCACCAAGAACTGGGCATGGCATCGACCACTGAGCCTGGCAATGGGATGGGAAGCAGGCATAGCACCAGGCATGGCACCAGCATCAGGAGCAGCATCGGACACAGCACCAACAGCATGGCACTGAGCACTGGGCATGGCACTGAGCACAGCATTGGGCATGGTGCCTGCACTGGGCATGGCACCGGGCATTGAGCATGGCACTGGGCTTGGTGCTGAGCACTGGATATGGCACCAGCCACCAGGAATGGGGTCCAGTACCGGGCACGTGGCACCAGCACCCTCATCCACCCCCATGCCAACCCCCCTTGGGTCTGTGCTCAGCCTCCTTACTTGGTCCCTTGGCCTGGGCACCCTGGGCACTGCCCGGTGCCGGGGGCCGCTCCCATGTCTGTTTCTGCCTCCCTCCTTTTTTGGACATGTTGCTGCTGAGTTATTTTGAGTGAATTCCAGTTTATTTTTACCAGCTCAGCTCTCCTGGGGCTCCCTTGTGTCTCGAGGCCACCGGTCTCCAGGGAGAGGCATGGGGGTGCCTGGGTGCCCCGTGGCCACGGGCTTCTGCCACTGCTGTGCTCCTGTGGGTACACATCCCAGCATTGTCCTCACGGGACCTGGGGGGCTGCAGGGGGGTCAGGTTGGGGGATGGGATGTGCTGAGGTCTGGGTACTGCCATGCTGTGATCACAGCAGCTCTGCTGGGCTGGCACCAAGCTGGGCATGTATGCATGGTGCAGCCTGGCCAGCATGCCCCTCCCTCCACCTTTAGATCAGTGTGGGGGCCCATGGACAGCTGTGAGGGGGTGGCAGGTCAATGGGGAGGGTGCAAAGAGGAGATTTGAGTGTGCAACGCTGGCAGCATGCGTGCAATTCACACACTTGCGCATAGCAGCGATCCTGGGGGGGGGGTTCCCTTGCCTTGATATGGGGTTTCCCATCCCTGCAGGCTGCTGGTGGGAGCCCCCCAGGCGCCGGCGCTGCCCAGCCAAGCGGCCAACAGGACGGGGGGGCTCTTTGCTTGCCCGCTGACCCCCGAGCCCTCCGACTGCTGGCGGGTGCCCATTGACGAGGGAGGTGAGGGGGATACACAAGTGGGGGCTCGTACCCCTATTGCGTGGGGCAGTGGGTCTAAAGAGGGAGTGATGGGGTGGGAGGGGGGGGGCACAGGAGTGATGCTGCCCCTGTGTCCCCTTCAAAAAGTGGATCTGCAAAGAGAGAGCAAAGAGAACCAGTGGCTGGGGGTGAGCGTGAAGAGCCAGGGCGCCGGTGGCAAGATCGTGGTGAGCACGAGGGGGAGCTCTGCAGGGAGAGAAGGGGAAAGGGGGGTCTTGGAGCTGCACGGTGCTGACCCCGCAGTGCTCAAACCCAGACCTGTGCCCATCGGTACGAAGCTCGGAACCGCGTGCAGCAGCCGCTGGAGACGCGGGATGTGATCGGGCGCTGCTTCGTGCTGAGCCAGGACCTCAGGGTGCACGACGAGCTGGATGGTGGAGAGTGGAAGTTCTGCGAGGGGAGGCCGCAGGGCCACGACCGCTTCGGCTTCTGCCAGCAGGGCTTGGCTGCAGCATTCAGCCCCGATCAGCACTACGTCCTCTTTGGGGCGCCTGGCACCTATAATTGGAAAGGTGAGTGTGGGTGGGTGTGGGGTGGATGGGTGTGCAAGAGGGTGGGTGTGTACTCGTATGGATAGTGGGTGTGAGCATGTGAGTGCGTGGAAGAGCCCTGTGTGCCCAAGTGCGCTCTGAGTGTGTGTGCTCTGAGTGTGTGCTCTGAGTGTGTCTGTGCACGTGGCTGCTTGGGTGTGTGCATGTGAAGATGCACACGCATTCATGCTGTGCGTGTGAGCATGGAGGTACGGAGCTGTGTGCATGTGGGTGTGTGCATGCAGGCAAAGATGCGCACATCCATGCTGTGTGTGAGCACAGAGGTGTGTGCACGCTTCGTGAGCGTGAGTGTATGCATGTGGGTGTGTGCATGCATGCAAAATGCACACATCCATGCTGAGCATGCT